TTACTGCTTAAAATGTTTTTTTATTTACAAAAATCTAAATGTAAAAACTAAAAATTTAAACGTAATCTAAAAAAAAAAAAAAAATACAATAAAACATTTTATTTATTTGTCAATTAGACTAAGAATGACTAATAACCAGCAGCAGGTTGATCATGTTCAGTTGGCAGAGTTCGTGGTGGATTCTGGGAGCTCTGGTGTACAAGAGAGCCGCCATCAGTTTGGACCCATGCAGTCGTGCGTTGCCAAACGGTTCCTCCAGAATGCCCATCGTGGTCAACATCACACATTTCTAAACACGGACAGAGTCAGAAACACATTAACGTCCCCTGCGTGCCATCTTTCTGTGATTTCATTTAGTTTTTAAGACTTGTGATAAAACTGGATGAGCAGACCAACCTTGGGTGGGTTTAACAGAAGGTGGTGAAAGTGCTTTAGATGTGTTTGGATGCCCATTAAAATGCTGTTGTTTACAGTGTAAGTCTTTTCCAATCCCTGAGAGCACGGGTCAATCACCTGCTCAACACTGTTACATACAAACACACACACTTTAGTAACAGTGAATGCGAGTGTGTGTGATGAAATATGTGTGTGTTACTCACCATGGTCTACGCGTTTCCAACAGTGTGAGTAAAACTTGAGTTCCATTGACAATGCACACTTCACTCTTTTCCCCTTCAAACATGTTCTTCAATAGGACCTCAATGCTCTGCTGTCTGAAACACACACACAGCAGCTGGATTTAGCATTCCATCACTTACTCACCAATGGATCCGCTGCAGTGAATGGGTGCCGTCAGAATGAGAGTTCCAACAGCTGATAAAAACACCACAAGTAATCCACACATCTCCAGTCCATCAATTAACATCTTGGGAAGTAAAAAGCCACATGTTTGTAATAAACAAATCCATTATTAAGATGTTTTTCATTTCAAACCATCCCTTCCAAGTAAACTACAAGTGCTCTATTCATAATACTGCTTTCTTCAGTGAAAACGTCATCTCGTCTGAATCAGGAGAAACATAAGCACAAAACAAGCACAGTTTACAAGCGAAAAGAGTCCAAAACATGTTTAAACAAATATGTTGGTGAATTTTGATGTTTCATGAGACAAGAGATGTGGATTACTGTGATGTTTTTATCAGCTGTTTGGACTCTCATTCTGACGGCACCCATTCACTGGAATGCTAAATCTCTCCAAATCTATTCTGATGAAGAAACAAACTCATCTACATCTTGGAAGGCCTGAGGGGGGGTGGGGGTGGGGTTTGGGGGGAGTACATTTTCAGCTAAAATGTTTATTTTTGGGTGAACTATTTCTGAACTATTCCTAGATAAAGTCTGGGCCACATTGCTGCTTATTTTGACAGACAACTGCACACTTTGAGAGCAAGACACCGTCTAGCTGACATGAAAGGTGACCAAACACAGTTTGCAGTAGAAGTCTGCATTCCTGCGGCTCTACCCGACCAAATTACATTCCCGAATAAAACGCGGTAGTGGTCGGTAACTCTGGTGTAATTTGAACGGGAGCGGGCAGTCTAACAATATCCCATTCCCGACATCCATTTAGAACAGCATATCTGCGCTTTATTCTTATTGACCACCGGTACAGCTTGCGCTCAGGACTGTTATGCACGCATGCTTTAAACGTCACGTGTTTTATTTGCGTGGTCTGTGCGCAGCATGTGCATAACGATGCTCAGAGCAGGCTGTACCGGTGGTAAATATACGGCCCTCAGACAGAACAGGCAGGTTGTCGATGAGTGGTAGAGCAGAATAAGGATGGAGCAAAGTGTGGATGCGCGGTCCATGAAGGACGTTCAACCCGGTTTGCTTATATTTTGCTTAGCCTATAATTTTAAATGAAAGATGTCGTATTTATTTTTCTCTGCGACACTTTTCCTACCGTGTTAACAGAAAAATGTCGAATAAAAAAAAAGACAAATAAAAATAGCTAATAGGTTATTTTTGTACAACCTCTCTGCGACACTTTTTCCCTATTGTGTTGTCAATGTTAAACGAATTGCATCCTGACAAGACAAATACATTTTATTTTCCCTGACACTTTTTTTCCTACTGTGTTGCATAAAATATTAAACGAATTTTGTGTCTTAAGATAATTCATATAAATTCAAGTCAAAGTCAATAAATTCAAAACTCTTGACAAGCCGAATAAAATAACATACAATTTTGTGCAGACTACACTTTTATTTGTAAGCCTATCTCTCTTTCAGTAGCGGAAATTTAAATGTGAGATTCTGGAAACAAGATCTAAATTTAGCGGGAACGGTCGGGTCGGGAAGAAAATTATTCTAAGCGGACAGCGGGTGAACAAAGAGTGAATATATAGCGGGAGCGGGTAGGTGCGGAATAGAACCTTGCGGGAGCGGGACTAAAAAAAAACAGTCCCGCGCAAACCTCTAGTTTGCAGTGGAAGTGTTGACACACACACACACACACACACACACACACACTCACAGCTCTAGTGTTGTGAGCAGAGGGTCGGTCTCTGACGTCTCCTGCAGCACACTGGCCTGATCTCTGCCCAGACGGATGATATCACACAGCGTCTGAGATGCGTTTGACTGCCTCTGTGAACACAAAAACACGTTTATGAATATATGTCTTCTTTTATATGTATTAATATATATTTGAGAGATGGAATCAAATGTTTTGGTTTCACAAGGACTTTTTCAGTAGCAACATCAAAAAAACATCACTATTACTAATCATCATACCTAGTAAGAGCTTTGAACAAACGCTACACTGCAAGTATTAAACGTTGTGTGTTTGTTGTGTAGTTCATTCTGCAGAAAATGTGAAACTGTAGTGACTGACCTCACTGTCACTGTGAGGGTGTATCAGCTCAATGAGTCTCTGGATCAGCCTCTCTTCATTCAGCCACTGAAAACAGAGGACATGAAATATCAAAACAAATACACACACAGATAGAGGGGTTTCTTTAGTTTTGAGCACTTTTATGTCTCAGGGTTGACATTTTTTCTTTTTGTTTTATGAAGGTCACATTACAATTGTCTTGGAAACTTTTAGAATACCTTCATCTAAACAACTACAGATTTAATTGTTTTTCCTCTTGCCACACTTTAAATATAAATTCGGCAAACATATTTATATTATATAATTGTATTGTATATGACGAGATGAATTATAATTATATTATATAAGATCATATATTATTCACATTCAGATATACAGATTTATAAGAACTGAAATAATCAAAAAAAGCCTTTAAATGTTATAGTTTTTTTTTATTCTTATTAAGAATTAAAATGATCAAAAGTGACAGAGATACTTAATGCTACAAAAGATTTCGATTTCAAATAAATGCTGTTCTTTTGAACTTTCTATTCATCAAAGAGTCTAGAAAAATAAAATGTATCAATTTCCACAAACATATGAAGCAGCACAACTGTCTTAAACACTCATAATAATAATAAATGTTTCTTGAGAAGCAAATCAGTATATTATACTGATTTCTGAAGGATCATGTGACACTGAAGACTGGAGTAATGATGCTGAAAATTCAGCTTTACGTCACAGGAATAAATTACATTTTAATGTATATATTACAACAGAAAATAGTTATTTTAGATTGAAATAATATTTCACAATATTACTGTTTTACTGTAATTTTTGATCAAATAAATGCAGCCTTGGTGAGCATAAGAGACTTCTTTCAAAAACATCTTACAGACCCCAAACTTTTGAATGGTAGTGTAATATGATTTAATTGTGTCTATTTAGGATATAAAACACTAATAAAATAGCCTAAATAATGCTTAACGGGCCATTTCCAACACTGCGATTTCCACCACAGTACAATTACAGCACATTTTATTGTATGAGATTTGCTGAAAGCATTAAAACGTTCACAAAAATTACAGAATTTTTCTGTGATGAATACTGGACATTGTTAGTAGACAAATCAAATAAACTGTGAGAGTGTAAGAGAGTTTATTTTTCACAGAGCTGAAGTGTCCATTGTAGAAACACCTATAAATGAATCAGTAGGTCGTGTGTGCACTCACAGTAAGCACTTCCTGTCTGAGACAGGCGGGCTCCACGCTGCTAATGAGACGCAGCACTAGATCCATCATGGCCGACGTGTCCAAGTGTTTCAACACCTGCCCTATAAAATCCTCCTTCTTCTTTAGGAAACCGATCACCTGATAAATAAAGTGAATGAACAAAGAGGAGAATGAAAGATTCATGCAGAAACAAATCAAATATTTTCACATGAAAAAGCAGACACGTTTACGTACCTGCTCTGTTTTGCGGGTGATGAGGTTCCCGAAGGTCTTACTGAAGAAGGAGGCCAGTAGAGGGTTCAGCGGTGACGTCTGCTCTAGGTAACTATAGAGTGTGTTCAGCAGAGACTCGTCCCCACCAACTTTATCATTGATGAGGGACACATCGCATGTCAACAACTCACATGCTACATTAGCATACCTGCATGAGAGACAGAGAAAAAAACAATATATGCCTAGTGGATGACTGATATATATTGCAAATAAATTCAGTATATAATGCAAATATGTAAGATTTTATTTAATAAAATATCCAAAAACCACTAGAACCACTACTATTTTGCTGACTTGTGTACTTGCATTATCCCAAATGTTTCGAAGAATGTTTAAATCCAGAGAAATAAGCAATTTTAACTAGTCTCACGGAGCGTGTCCATAGTGTCATTGTGTCGCCTGCCAATGACGTCATAACCCCTCGATTTCCGGAAACACCAAAGACGCTTTAATATGTTGTGCATTTTAATAGACCGGTGACGACCACACAGAGTAGCATTATAACAGAACTCAAATGTATCTAGTATGATAAAACAGCGCTGCTTTACCCCACATACGCACGACCGGAAGCAGCGGAAGCGGTCGACTGTGGCATAATAAAAGCTCCGCTGCTTTCGAGCCGTGTGTCACGTTCGTTCAGCGGCCTCGTTTTGCTTCGACGGCTTTCAGCCTCACCCTGCTTCATTCTACTACGTTAATAAATCATTAGCTCATCCATGAACACGATTTCTGCCCGAGTCCCGTCGGATTGCATCGGCTGTGGGGATGAAGACAACAACTCCCATGATTCCACAATCAGTCACGGTGTCATCAAACTACGCATTTGTTTGTTTTGAATACGTGCCCTCTAGCGGCGAAAATTACATATTGTGCCTTTAACTCTTTCCCCGCCATTGGCGAGTTATCTCGTCTTTTACAAGAAAACGCTTCCACGCCAAAGACGAGTTTTTACGACTTTCCGTGTTTTCACTGTTATACACTTGGGGGCGCTATTATGCTTCTTCTGAACGAGTACAAAACCTCCCGAACAAAAACACACGTGGACAGGACGGAGAAACACGCGATCTCTTATGTAAACAGATGCATATGAAAAATAATGCGATCATCAGCAATAGACAGCATATAAATGAAAACTGCATAATGTCACGGAGTAAAATGTTGATCCAGGAAGTCGTATATGTCTGTGCAAGCTTTGGAGCCAGCGATTTACTGGATTTATGCTTTGATAATCGTACTGAATATTATCCAGATGTAGTTTTTGATAAAAATGTGATTTTATCACCTTTTTGCTTAAAATAATGCATTTTTTATTAAACCTAACTATATTCAAGTGTTGATAAAAAAAAGAATGCTTTAAGCTTGAATAAAAATGTTTTTTGTTTAAAAGCAGAGGCTCTGATCTTTATTTTGGTGTATTGCATATTCAAATATTCATACAGAAAAATATACTGGAGGCCATCAAATATTAGTGAAAATCATCAAAATCGCTGGCGGTGGCTGGCAACTTTAAAAAAAAAATGCTGGCGGGGAAAGAGTTAATGGGTATACATTTATCTTATATCATATTTACTGGAAATTCACTTAAGATATTTAGGAACTGGAAATGTTTGTTATCCATTGACAAGGCTGTCACGTGTTACGTTAACTAAGACTATCATTAATTGTTTTCATTAGTAAATAAAGCTGAAATAAAATAAAACAAAAATATAATTGAAAAACTTGAACTCAAAAAACTAACTAAAATTTACAAATAGAAGTTTAAATAGAAGTAAACTTACAATAACTGAAATAAAAAATGTACTAAAGCAAATTAAAATAAAAATGAACTGAAAATATAAAAATAACTGCTAAATATATTTTTAGCATGTAAATAATACAGAAATAAGACTGGACCAAATCTTAATTATTCAGCCTGGCTAATAAATTGATAGCGTACATGAATCAATCAATCAATAAATATTTCAACAAATTACGTAATCTCCAATTGACCAAATATCAAATCCTTTTATTTAAGAGCAGCTCATCTCTTCACTCACTTGTAGCGCAGTCTCTCCTCCCGGTCAGCAGGGGGCTCAGTAACACTCATTTTACATACAGCACACAGTGGAAATTACATGAATATGGCAGTGGGCAACTGCATAAAGTGCAGCATAATTTGAAATCACGAGTTTAAAGTTTGTCGACCGCGCGTCTCCAGTGAAGCTGAACTCTCCTCATGTCTGCATTCAATTCACACGGATCGACCGTCGCCCAGAGAACACGCGATCATGCAGGATACAAATGCACACTTCACAAGATCTCACAACTGGATCCGACTAAGTTTGCAAGCTTTGTGAAATTAAATGTTCATTAGTCATTCAAAGATTTGTTTAAATGATATAAATGCGTGTTTGCTGAATGCTGACAGCAAACAAGAAAGTTTTATAATGTTTGCCTTTTTATTACTAATAATATAAAAGCAATCGTTATAATACTTTTTGTATACATTTTAATTCCTTTGTTTAACAGTTCTATCTGATTATTAGACAGACTTCTATCCATATTAGACAGAACTGTTAATGACGGCAGCGAACAAGAGGGAGACTGTGAGCGGTGTGCTCAGGCGCTGCCGCTGTCAGCGTCATCAAAATAAAAGTCCCGCCTCGAACGCATCGGCCAAACAGGAAAATGTATCGGTCGATGCCGATATTTAAAAAAATGCCAAATATCGGCCGATATATCAGCCTTGGCGATATATAGACCACTAATTAGAATGATTTCTGAAGGATCATGTGGCACTGAAGACTGGAGTAATGATGCTGAAAATTCAGCTTTGCATCATAGGAATAAATTAGATTTTAATGTATATTAAAATAGAAAAACATTATTTTACATCATAATAATATTTCACAATATTACATTTTTTCCCTGTATTTTTTATCAAATAAATGCTGCCTTGATGAGCATAAGAAACATAGTAAAAAAATATTTAAAAAATCGCTCTGATCCCAAACTTTTGACCGGTATTGTATATGTATCAGCTTTATTGCACTTACCAAAATAACAAAAGCAGTCAAATGTTTTAGTTCTCAAAGGTTTCCGTTTTAAATGACAAAATAATTATTTAAAAATGATATAATGTACAATCTGCAAAGGGGTTGAAAAATATGTTCAAATACTCCATTCAATGTCAAAGAACTTTATATAAACACAAGTTTATAAATAAGCTGTTTCGCCTAAATCTGTCATTTTCTGTCTGTTGTTTGGATGTAGTAAAACACCCACAAATTTAGAAGAAAACATCTGGGTTTCTTCTGTCACTGGCCATAATTCTTATCCTTGACATCAGGATTAGGCATAAAATGTCTTCAGAATCATTCATACAGTACGTACATGTGAAAATCGGCAGCGAATTGAATGAACAGTTCTAACCTTTCCAAAGAAAGACAGGAATCATGTCTTTGTGGCAGTTTTTTCTGCTGATTAAGGGATAATACAATACTTCTTCACCTTACCAATGGTTGTCAAAAGCAAAAAAGCTACAAAATGCATCATATTTTGTGAGAAAGTGTGACGTGCCAGAGCAGCCCAAAATGACTAAGAAACAAGCATTGAATTTCAGTCAGCAAATATGATACAGGGCGGTGTTATGTGTATAATCCAATGCTGGTATTGTTTATAATTCACCCATTGAGCATCTTAGGCAGTAAACTACCTTCAGTCAGATGGTGTTTTCCTTAGTTGGGATGCAGAGACCAGTTTACACACATTGGTTTACTAGATCGAGTGGTCAGTGGTCAAATATCCCATCCATCCACAAGGCTGCCTCATATTACAACACAGGCACCTGTAGGGACAAAGACAAGTCATCAAGACATGACCAAGACCAGTGAGACGAACAGATCATCAGATGAGTGCTGAGGAAAGCATGCCATGCACACTTCAATTAAGCCACATCATGGTTCTGTAATATGACTAGGACTCAGGCTGAATAAGCTAAGCTCGTTTAAACACACATGAAGGTGTTCACACACACACACCCAACAATAGCAGCATGTTCCTTTTTAGTCTTTTAATGGGATTAATCAGCGGATATGAGGTCAGCTGCCAGCCTAAACTACATCATACAGTGTCACAGACCATTACTGCACCAAATCTATTACAACACACACTTATATAGAACACACTCACAGAGAGAAATATTTCAGAGCTGAGCAAAATTATAACATTTATATAGAAATCTCCATCGTGTTTAATGTTATTATTACTTCTTTATGACTTCTTCAGCACTAGATATCACATATTTTGAGGTCGACAGATAGATAGATAGATAGATAGATAGATAGATAGATAGAACGAACGACAGACAGAGAGACAGAATGAGAGAACGATAGACAGACAGAGAGATAGAAAGATAGATAGAACGAACGACAGACAGACTGAGAATGATAGATAGACAGACAGACAGACAGACAGACAGAGACAGACAGACAGACAGACAGATAGATAGATAGATAGATAGATAGATAGA